AATATCAAAAACTTCAGGAAAATCATTAGTTTGTTCGGATGTTTTTGGAGAATCGTTGCTTGAAGAATTAAAAGCATCAAGACCGAAGAGCCCACCACCMCTTCAAAAGCTTAGTAGCGATGAATCATTCTGTTCGTACTTGGGAAGTCTGATGTCCGACTTACCAACAACTTCAAAAAGAAGGCTACAAGGTGAATTTATTTCCACAGTCATCAGTGAACTCAATTATTAAATTTTAAAAGTAATACATTTTTAATTAATAAAAGTTATGTTTTCATTTTGTTAATAATTTTTTTATTATATTCTATCATATTGAAATTCCACATTGCCTTCATTCATAAGATGAAACTTTAATTTTTCCCTGACTTCTTTGGCATCAATCCCATAATGGTTAGATCCTACAGGACCAATTGGCTCCAAAGCTCCATTGATTTCAAAAGTTCTTGGGATATTATGGTCATCTTGTGGTGGAGGACAATACATAAAAATGCCTATTAACACACACACATTTTATATTGCTATATATTATTAGTCATTTTACAAGAAGAATTTATTATTTATAGCTTATTATACCTTGGGTTTTCTCATATTTTTTAATATAATTGTGTAGTACAACTGTTGCTTGTACTATAGCAACTACTGTTTTTTCTCCAGCTATAATTGGACGACGAAAGATCCGCCATTTGGCAGCCATAATACCAAATGTGTTCTCAATACATCTGCGAGCCCGGCTTAATCTAAAGTTATAGATTTAACTTAGTTATTTATATTTTAAATAGAGARTTGGGTTACATACCTATAATTAAAAATTGCTTTGTMRACTGGTAAATTTCCTTTAGCTCGGCCAGGATAAGGTCGCATAACATTTGGCAGTAGCATAAAGGCTTCATCTGCCACTAAATAGTAAGGTATTGGTCCAACTGCGGTATCGATTGGCGTGGGGTTTGGAAATTTGATATCATTATTAATTATTTTTTTACCCAAAGTACTTTGCCTAAATACACCTCCATCACTATTACGACCTGGTGCACCAATGTCAACTAATAAATAGTTGTAATCGGCATCACAAACAGCAAGAAGCACTATACTATGGRCACCTTTATAGTTGTAGTACACAGACCCAGTATTAGCAAATGCCTTTTAAATATAAGTATATTTTTAATATATAAGATAATTTTAAGTAATATTATTATTTAGATAAGCACCTGGTGGACAACATGTTTTCCATC